CCTCTGGTCTTTTCCTCTTCCCCCACCACCAAAAGGGCAGAGTAGTATCTGCCCCTGGGCTGGCCGCCAGCGTCTGTCCCCACGGTCTCACGGTGCCCACAGACTCGTGCGCAGGAGAGAATCTTTGATCTGCACTTCCCAGAGCGTCTGAGCACCGTGGGTGGGTGCGGGGTTGTGGGGGGGCATCCTTCCGGCAAAGGTTTTGCTGGCTGCCCCCAGCAGGGCTGGGCCAGAAACAAAGCCCCACTTGTTGACCCCAGGCATCTCTGCCTCTGCCCCATGGCCTGCAAAGGATTTTCCTTTCTTTTTCTTGGGGGACGCGGCTCTTCCAGGCGCTGGTGCTGGCCTTATTGGGGGGGAGGGGGGCGGGAGGGGGCAGTACCCCTCCCCCGGCCCACCCACAGGGATCTCAGGTCCTGAGACACCCACGGACATGACTCTGGCCAGTGCCGGGGGTCTGCTCACAGGGGCAGAACACTCCGACCTCTCACCCCCTTGGGGTCTCCGTGGGGGGGATTTCTGAGCTCGGAGCACCTTCCCCCCAGCCAGCACTAGCTCATCACTACCATATCTTTTTTTCTTTTTTTCTCTTTATTTCTTTTTTGGGTTACACCTGGCGATGCACAGGAGTTCCTCTTGGCTCTACACTCAGGAATTACTCCTGGCGGTGCTCTGGGGAACCCTGTGGGATGCTGGGAATCGAACCCGGGTTGGCCGCATGCAAGGCAAACACCCTACCCACTGTGCCATCGCGCCAGCCCCCAACTGCCGTATTTTATTGCAAAATCGTTGCATCCTGATTTTTCTTTTCCCCAAGTAGCACCGGGCAGGGCCAGAGAGACAGTCAGGGAGGGCATTTGCCTTGCGTGTGACCAACTCCAGTTGGATCCCCGGTATATGCTGGGAGTGACCCCTGAGAACCTTCAGATTCCAGTAGCTTCACGCTGGGGGAAGCTGCCCCAGACAAAGGCTGGCTGGCTCTCATGGCTGTATTTTTTTTCTCTCAGTCCCTCGCAGCCCCCCGGGGGAGAGGCATGCAGGGGGTTGGCTCCCTCAGACTCCTGAGAATTCATGTTTTGTTCAATGTGACTCAAGTTTAACTTCAGTTCACCGGCTGCTCCTGGGGGCTGGGGCGGGGTAGCCGTGTTGAGCTGGGGGAGTCGGGCCTCGGCTTCTCTCCCACCCCCAGAGTTCAGGCCCCACATGACACTTGTCTCTGTGAGTGAGCAAAAGCCCCTCTGCCCCGCCCTCGCTGCCCCTCTGTCCTTCCTGTCCACCCTGTCACCCCTCCTGTCCCTCCATCCCTCCTTCCCTCCATCTTTCTCGTCCACCCTGTGGCTGGCCGGAGCCTGTGCCCTCAGAGCAGGTGGACACAGGGCATTGTCCTGCCAGGGCCCCACAGCCTGGAGAGTCTGGAGAGAAATGGGTGTCCAGCCGGGGGGCAGGGGGCGTTCCCCGTTCTTCCCACAGAGGCTGGGGACAGGCCCAGCTGCTGGCTTTTCTGCAGCCTCAGCTGGGGACCAGGAGCCTCTGCCAAGGGCGGGTCACTATGGCAACCAACAAAGCCAGAGCCAGGGGCCTCTGCGGGGGCTGACGGGGCCTGCTCCTGGGCTGGACACAAGGACACGGGCTTTCCCCGGCCCGGATCCCCCAGCCCCCTTCCAGCCTGGGTCCCCCAGCCCCCTGCTGGGGTTCCCAGAGCTCGGACCCCAGCTTCTGTCCTGTGTTCAGGGAGCATCTCTGAGCCTCAGGGACTGGGAGAAGACGGTCCCCGGAAGCAGGCAAGCTCAGACTCCCAGGAGTGTGGGGGAGACCGTCTGAGGCACTGGACGTGTGAGCGTCACTGGCCCAGAGGTGGGGGTGGTGGGGCACGTGGGCCGGGTGGAACTCACGTCCTCAGCCGTCAGAGCCGCCGTCGCGGCCACCTCGCCCGCTGTGGACCAGGCTTTCAAGGGCCACACAGCTCGTCCACGCCCAGCACGTCCTTTCGGGCTGGGGACGTGGCTCTGATCCTGGCGTGGCCGCTGCCTGAATACGTGCATGGGTCCCTCCGCTCCTGGTGCTTTGGCCGTGCTCACCGCCACTTCGTGTCCTGCTTCTGCTTCCTCTGGGGACTTAGACGAGAGCTCGCCTGGGTGCCCGAGCCGGGGCTTGATCCGCTGTTTTTCTTTTTCCCTTATGGTGTGTTTGGCACTGGCACTTGGTGGTGATCTGGGGTCACTCTGGGCCTGGTGATCAGGGAACCTTGCGTGGTTGGGGGCTCCTGGCTTCTCCTCCCAGAACCCCAGGCTTGGTCACCCCCAGCAGGCTTTGGATGTTCCCTCTGACTGACGGGGATCCCGGCTTCTCCTGACAGGCTGAGCCATCCTTTCTCACCCCCACCCCCTCCCCCGTCTGGACCCTTCTGGTTTTATTTTATTTTATTGCCTTTTTGGTGAGCGATGCTCACCCAGCGATGCTCAGGGGTGACCCTTGGCTCTGCGCTCAGGAATTACTCCCGGCGGTGCTGGGGGACCATATGGGATGCCGGGAATTGAACCCGGGATGGCCCTGCTCAAGGCAAACGCCCTCCCCGCCGTGCTGTCGCTCCAGCCCCAGCCTGGACCCTTCTGGAGAAGGCTGGAGAGTGGGCCCCCACCCCAGTCCCCTTCCACCTCTGAGATTTTGTGTCCCAGCTGCCTTCCCTGGGCCTTTGACCTTTCCTTGCCCTTGACCTTTCTTGTCCATGCCCTTTCCCGATGCTTGGCCTCTTGTGTCCTGGACCTTTCTGTGCCCTTGACATTTTCTAGCCTGCATCTTCCCAACCTTTGCTCCTTTCTCGTCCCTTGACCTTCCCGCCTTTCTCACAGCGCCCAGACGGCCCCTCCAGCGCTGGCACCCCCCCTCCAGATTCGTCTCTTTGTTCCCCACTGTCTCCCCACCCCCACCCCACCCCCCACCCGGAGCCAGTGAGCTCTTGCCGGGGAATTTTAACATTCCAGCCTTGAGCTCGCCTGTTTTCTTCCTCTGTCTCTCCGCAGCCTTTGCGGGCAGCGAGCATGAGTAACAGGAGGGCAGTGTGTCGCCAAGGCAGGGGCGGCTGGAGGAAGGGGGAGTGACATCAGCCCCTGCCGGATGGCCACAGGAGATCAGGCTTGGCTTGGCTTTGAGGAGGTCGCTTTCAGCTGTGGCCCCTGGAAATGCCGCCTCCCGCCCCATCCATGGCTCAGCACGACATTTGCAGGCGCAGACACTGGAGCGGGAGGCGGAGTCCTCGAGTGTTAATGTGTGCGTCCTCCCAGAGCTCAAAATCACTCCAGTGGGGGCTGGAGCGATAGCACAGCGGGGAGGGCGTTTGCCTTGCACGCAGCCAACATGGCCAACACAGGTTCGATTCCCAGCATCCCATATGGTCCCCTGAGCACCGCCGGGAGCAATTTCTGAGTGCAGAGCCAGGAGTAACCCCTGAGCATCGCCGGGTGTGACCCAAGAAGAAAAAAAAAATCACTCCAATGGAGGTGGAGTTGTGCGCGGTCAGAAGTGCTCCTGTTTGAGCCCAGCAGGCGCAGCACCGCCCACCCAAAGCCACCCAAAGCCCACCATGCCCTCCGGAATCACCCAGCCAGGCTCATCCCAGGGTGCTGCTCTCTGCATTCCTGGATGTGGTTTTGGGCTTTTTTTTTTTTTTGCTTTTTGGGTCACACCTAGTGATGCCCAGGGGTTCCTCCTGGCTCTGCACTCAGGAATTACTCCTGGTGGTGCTCAGAGCACCCTATGGGGTGCTGGGAATCGAAGCCAGGTCAGCCGCGTGCAAGGCAGATGCCCTTCCCGCTGTGCTTAGGACTTGCTCCTCCTGGCTCTGAGCTTAAGGGTGCAAAATCCAACCCGGGTTGGCCACTGGGGCCGGAACAATAGCAAAGCAGGAGAGTGTGTGCCTGGCACGGGGCCAACCCGGGTTTAGTCACCCAAACCAAGGAGTGATCGCTGAGAGCTGAGCCAGGAGTAAGCCTTGAGCACTGCTGGGTGTGGTCCCCAAGAAAGGAAAAATAAATCCCCTCTGAGGATCGCCAGGGTGGGTCCAACACCCACACCTGCCAGAGGAGGAAAGCACGGTCCTCCCGTTGTTCATCGATTTGCTTGAGCGGGCCCAGTAACGTCTCCATCACGAGACTTGTTGTTACTGTATTTTGGCATATCGAATACATCACGGGTAGCTTGCCAGGCTCTGCCGAGCGGGCGAGACACTCTCGGTAGCTTGCCGGGCTCTCTGAGAGGGGCGGAGGAATCGAACTCAGGTCGGCCATGTTGGCTGCTTATAAGGCAAACACCCTACCACTGTGCTATCGCTCCAGCCCTAGAGGAGGAAAGAGGATAATGAAATACGTGATTAGAGGGCCAGGGTAGATTGCACAGCAGGGAGGGCATTTGCCTTGCACACGCCAACCCAGTTTGATCTCTGGCATCCCATAGGATCCCCCTGAGTCCAACCAGGAGTGACCCCTAAGCATCACCGGATATGACCCAAAAAGAAAAAAAAACAGGGGCTGGAGCAATAGCACACGGGGTAGGGCATTTGCCTTGCATGCAGCCGACCCCGGTTCGATTCCCAGCATCCCATATGGTCCCCTGAGCACCGCCAGGGGTAATTCCTGAGTGCAGAGCCAGGAGTAACCCCTGAGCATCGCCAGGTGTGACTCAAAAGGCCAAAAAAAAAAAATAGTATGATTAGAGGCCCCCGGTGGTGGCAGCACGTGAGAAGCTTTAAGTTCAGTCCTCACCAGCAGGATGGGCGGGTGGGTCGGTGGGTGGCTAGCGAGATGGTAGAGTGAGAGGCGAAAAATGGACCCATGGGTGCGTGGACAAACACAGAAGGCCGTGGATAGAATCCAGGCGGGTGGATGGTAGATGACAGGTAATCCAGCTGGACCGCTGACAGCCTCACCCCAGCAGGCCCCTTTCTGCTCGGCTGGGGGCCCTCGCTGGTCCTTGCTGGCCTCACCTGCGTTTCTGTCTCCTTGCAGGAGGGGAGCGTGTGACGGGGTCTCGTTCCCTCCGTGGGACCATGGTCTCCATGATGCTCGCCCAGCGGCTGGCCTGCAGTTTCCAGCACAACTACCGCCTGCTCGGGCCAGGTAAGCAGGGCTCTGGCCAGTGCTGTTCCCGGTGGGAGGCCGTCCTCCCGGAGGGACCTTGGGTGCCTCTCCTCTCCCTGACGCTGCTCCCACCTGGGCCCCGGGGAACCCGTCTCAGCAGGAGTGACCACCAAGAGGCAGGAGGGAGACCAAGAGCCCTCCTCAGTGGCCTCAAGGCCAGCTGTGCTAAACGGGGATCGGGCAGGAATGTCCCCCCAACTCCCCGCCCCAGGCCCCCATCAGAGGCCAGCAACCCAGTTCACTCAGCATTCTAGAAGGCCCTAGAAGCTTCTGTTTCTGCTGGCCTGCAGAAGCCAAGAGAATTCCACAGGGAACCCCAATTGTGTCTCGTTTCACAAAACAAAAATGGCTCAGAGACTGGGTCAGCAGAGAAGGTACTACCCCAGGGTCCATCCCCAGCATCACATAAGGTCCCCCAAGCATTGCCAGGAGGGATCCCTGAGCACAGAACCAAGAGTAAAACCTGAGAGCTGAAAAATAGAAAAGAAATTGTTCATAGAATCTGGTCGTGGCAGTAACGTTACTAAGTGGCCAACTCTGGACAGGGAGATGAAATATTTGGGGGTTATTTATTATTATTTAATTATTAATATTTGGTTATTAATAATTCTCCCATTATTCATATTTTCTCTTGATGAGCATATTACCAAAACATAGGTGGGAGAAAAGAAAAGGGGGGAGTGACTGGCATAGGCAGATCAGGAGCAGGAGGGAAGCTGAGGACATTGGTGGAGGGAAGTGGAAGGGAGAAAGGGTCGGAGCACTGTATGGAGAAGGGGTTGGAGCACTGTATGGAGAAAGGGTCGGAGCACTGTATGGAGAAAGGGTCGGAGCACTGTATGGAGAAAGGGTCGGAGCACTGTATGGAGAAAGGGTCGGAGCACTGTATGGAGAAAGGGTCGGAGCACTGTATGGAGAAAGGGTCGGAGCACTGTATGGAGAAAGGGTCGGAGCACTGTATGGAGAAAGGGTCAGAGCACTGTATGGAGAAAGGGTCGGAGCACTGTATGGAGAAAGGGTCGGAGCACTGTATGGAGAAAGGGTCGGAGCACTGTATGGAGAAAGGGTCGGAGCACTGTATGGAGAAAGGGTCGGAGCACTGTATGGAGAAAGGGTCGGAGCACTGTATGGAGAAAGGGTTGGAGCACTGTATGGAGAAAGGGTTGGAGCACTATGGAGAAAGGGTTGGAGCACTGTATGGAGAAAGGGTTGGAGCACTGTATGGAGAAAGAGTTGGAGCGTTGTATGGAGAAAGGGTTGGAGCACTATGGAGAAAGGGTTGGAGCACTGTATGGAGAAAGGGTTGGAGCATTGTATGAAGAAAGGGTTGCAACATTGTATGCAGAAAGGGTTGCAACATTGTATGGAGAAAGGGTTGCAACATTGTATTACTGAAACCCAGTCAGGAATAACAGTAACTTAGTAATTCACAGTGATGCAATTTTAAAAAATTTAAAAACAAAAAATGTAGGTGGGGGTTCTGGAGAGATGTGTAAGATACCTGCTTAGTGGTCCCCCAGCTGTTGCTCAGAGTGACCCCCAAGAACAGACATGGGGTTAGCCCCTGAGCATGGCCAGATGTGGCCCGAATCCCCCACCATCAGAAAAAATAGGGGCTGGAACAGTAGTACAGCAGGGAGGGCACTTGCCTTGCACGCAGCCGACCCGGGTTCCATCCCTGGCACCTCAGATGGTTCCCTGAGCACCTCTAGGAGTGATCTCTGAGTATGGAACCAGGAGGATGCCCTGAGCACGACCAGGAGTGATCGATCCCTGAGTGCAGAACCAGGAGTATTCACTGAGCACAGAGCCAGGAGTGAGTTTTGAGCATTTCTGGGTGTGCCCACCCCCCCCAAAAAAAAACCAAAACCACTCCCCCCCCCCCCAAAAAAAAATTAGGTGGGACTGACAGTTACAAAGGAGATGTGATTTAAAAGGATTAAAAGCTGCGCAAACAAGGCGTGGACCCGACCTCTGAGCCAGCCAGGCTGGCAGAGTGCTGGCCGTAGCGAACAACAGGGTTTATGGCTGAGGGCACAGATGAAGGGGACAATAGTCACATTCAGGGCGGCTTTTATGGGCTGGAGTTAAAGATTGACTGGTGTTCACTGGCCGCGGGAGGTGACGGCACACACCCAGGCGGGTGCACCCTCTGTGGGGTTGTGTGGGGGCTCTCGGCGTATCCCCTCTCGAATGAAAGCCCCACCCAGATACCTCTCCCCTGTGATCTGCTTCCCTGAGCTTCCAAGAGCATCAGCTGCACAAATTCCCCAGACACGTTTCTTTTTCTTTCTTTTTTTTTTTTAAAAGAGCATCAACTTTATTGCTTTTGGGGTCACACCCAGTAATGCTCAGGGATCACTCCTGGCTCTGCACTCAGGAATTACTTCTGGTGGTGCTTGGGGGACCCTATGGGATGCCGGGAATAGAACCCGGGTCGGCCATGTGCAAGGCAAACACCTTCCCCGCTGTGCTGTTGCTCCAGCCCCAGACAGACACATTTGTCAGCTGGGTGACCCTGGGCAAGTTCATTGATCTCTCTGGGCCCTCCGCCGGCCTCTCTGAGGAATAACATCAGCTTTCCTTCTGAGGGGTGGGCAGGAGGAGAGGGGATGATCCCGGTCAGCTGCTCAGGGTCTCGCTTCTCTGTCCACCCACGGTGACCTGGCATGAAACCCCCGGAAGCAGTTTCTTTGACCGCACAGAGTGTGTCCATCCTCTCACTGAGGGACCTCAGGCACTGTTGGTGTTCGAGTGTTTCCCTCTGCAAAGTGCAAAGCTTGGGAGAGAGCAGGAAAACCTGGAGTACGGATGCACGGTTCTGCAGCTGTGTGACCTCAAGACCGTCCCTGAGCCTCTCTGATCCTGTTGGGAGCGTGGGCCAAGCCAGACTGGTGTAGATGGTTTGAAACGGCAGAGGAGGGCGCTTGCCCGGCGTCCAGGAGCCAGGGCCCATGCCGGCTCTGACCGCCCCAAATCTCCGAGGCTGCAGGCTCAAGTTCCTGGTTCCTCTTCCGGGCTCCTGGCCCAGCCTTGGCCGCCTTCCACCCTCCCCACGAGGTCTGGCAGCCGGCAGGATCCCGGGAAGGTCTCGGGACAGCCCCAGCGGCCTCACATCTGGCCCTGGACGTCCCCGTCTGCTTCCCCCGGGCTCCTGCTGGCAGGACCAGATTCCCCACGGACCTTGACCCCTGCCCTCCCTGCTGCCCGCGGGCTCTGCTGTCTCCAGTCTCTGGCCTTCGGGTCCCCTCAGCTGCCGCTTCCAGTATCCCCGACCCTCCATCCCAAGAGCTCTGATGCCCTACTGCCTCAGTGGGATCTTTTCTGGGGGACAGAAGGGAGGACCGGGTCACGTTGACATGCGGCTTCATTATTGTTTTGTGTAGGGGCCACACCCAGCAGTGCTCGGGACTCACTCCCGGCTCTGTGCTCAGGGATCACGCCTGTCGAGACTTGGGAGACCACACGGGGATGCCTGGATCGAATCTGGGTTTGTCACCAGCAAGGCAAACGCCCTCCCCCCTGTATTATATCTCTGGCCCCAGTTTATTTATTTTTATTTATTTATTTATTTATTTAGCTTTTTGGGTCACACCCGGCAATGCTCAGGGGTTCCTCCTGGCTCTGCACTCAGGAATTACTCCTGGCAATGCTCGGGGGACCATATGGGATGCTGGGAATCGAACCCAGGTTGGCCATGTTGGCTGCGTGCAAGGCAAACGCCCTACCGCTGTGCTATCACTCCAGCCCCCTATTTATTTTTTTTTAATGCTGTTTTTTGTTTGCTTGTTTTTTTGTTTGGGTGTGATGCTCAGGGGTCCCTCCTGGCCCTGTACTCAGGAATGACTCCTGGCAGTTCTCAGGACACCATATGGGATCCTGGGAACCGAACCCAGGTCCCATATGCAAGGCAAATGCCCTCCCCACTGTACTATCACTCCAATACGCCCACCCCAGTTTATTTTGAATCCTTTACCTAGCCCCTTACTATGAACAAGTCAGAGAAATGCTGATTTGGAGTTTCCTCTTCCTCCCTCCCTCCCTTCCTTCCTCTTTTCCTTCCTCCCTCCCTCCTTCGTTCCTCCCTTTTTTCTTTCCTCCCTCCCTCCCTCTTCTTCCTTCCTTCCTTCCTTCCTTCCTTCCTTCCTTCCTTCATCCCCTCCTTCCTTCTTTCCTTCCCTCCCTCTCTTTCTCTCTTTCCTTCCTTTATTCTTTTGGACGTACCTGTCTGTGCTCACGGCTTACTCCTGCCTCGGTGCTCAGGGAACCATATGGGATACCGAGGACCCAACCGGGTCAACCTGGTGCGAGGCGAGTGCCCTCCCCGCTCCGGCCCCCAGCACTATCTGTTCCCGGCCTCCATCCCTGTTTCACGCGGGTCTGGCTGGAGTCCGGCTGGGTCGGTAAAACCCTGAGTTGGGCGGAGGAAGAGACACGGCGTAGCTTCCCAAAGAGCGCCTGACGTGTGCCATGACCTTTCCCTCTGCTCGTGGAATAACCTCTTGAGGAATTCTGTTGTTATTCCCTAGATCAAACGGAAGGCAATAAAAGCCGGTTCCTTTGTGCCTTAAAGAAAGGGGAGCCTTGGATTTGAACTGGACTTGATCAAAGCGCTTTACTTTAATACAGAACAATTTCACGAAAGCCTTTGATCCCCGAAGCCAGGAAGGGAAATCATGAACGCATTTAAGTTGTTCTTTTTATTTTCACGCCAGAGACTTTGAGTTGTTGGGCAGATTGTGTGCTGGGGGAGAGAGATTCCTCAGGATTGTTCTTCCCCGGGGCCGATCTGCTTGGGGACCGAGCTAAGTCCTGCCGCGGTTGTGTCAGGAGCTTAAGAGATCGCGTGTATGAGTTCCCTGGAAATCCTTGTCTTGTGCTACTCTGGAATCTTATTTGCAACATGGCCTCCGTGCCCTGGAGAAGAGAGGGACGTGCAGAAACCAAGTCTGAGCCTTGACGCCTCCCCGCCGTCTGGCACTGACTGGGCAATAGGCATCCACGTTCCGAGTCCTGTATGTTTTTTTGTTTGTTTGCCTGCTTTTTCTTTTTGAGGTCAGACCTGGCAATGCACGGGGGTTACTTCTGGTTCTGTTCTCAGGAATTACTTCTGGCGGTGCTCGGGGGGGACCCTATGGGATGCTGGGAGTCAAACCCAGGTCGGCCGCGTGCAAAGCAAACGCCTCCCCGCTGTGCTATGGCTCCAGCCCCCCCCCCCCCCCACCAAGTCCTTTATGGGCTCCACCACGAGCTGAGCTCAGATGCCATCTGGGCTCGCCCTGCGGCCAACAACTTCCGGAGGTTTATTACTATGCCCCTGCAAAAAAAAAAAAACCATATGAGTTTCAAATGACTTGGGAGCAAAACTTGGTTCTAACAGGAGCATCTCTGAAAGGGGGTATTTGATCTCCCTTCTGATCATTTGCGGGGCCACCCACGGGCTGCTCAGGGTTCCTCCTGGCCCAGTAAGCAGGGATCCGGGAGGTGCTGGGGGACCCCAGGCGGCCCCCAAGATTCCAGTCTCCACAGGCTGCAGTGAGGCCAGTGACCTCCGCCAGCTCCTTCCTGGTGTTTAAACCAGCAGATTCCCGCCGACCTAGACTCAGGGTGGCCTGGCTGGGAGTAAGTAGGGTCCTGGGCAGGGTTGTCACACCCACCCCACCCTGGACATCCCTCCCTCCCCTGGGTTTCCTGCAGGATGCAGAAGCATCAGTCAGGCGGCAGCCAAAGTGGACGTGGAGTTGGACTATGATGGGCCGCTGATGAAGACAGAGGTCCCCGGACCCAGATCTCAGGTGAGTGGGGCACCTTCCAGTGGGCAGTGGGGCTGGAACAGGGAGATTGGGCACCTGTCACCTGGCCAGCCACCTCGAAAGCTCCCTGGAGGAGGTGTAGGTCATTCACAGGAGAAGCGGCTGGGGCCACTCTCGGCGGGGGCGGGTGTCACCCTCCCTCCTGTGGAAGCTGGGCTCAGCAAGCTCCTCTCACCATCCAGGGGAGCCCTCACCATGGCTCCAACCTGGCCCCCCAGAATAGAAGAACTGGGCCGAGCTCCCCTGGAGGGACAGCAAATGCCCTTGAACTTGACCTTGAATGGAAAAAAAGAAAAAAAACCAAATTTGCCCAAAACAAGATTTCTGTCCTGGATGAAGGGAAAAGGGGCAGAAGTGAGGCATTTGGGGGTACCCAGTCAGAACCCTGGAAAGAGGTGCCCATGGGAGGAGCGAGGTTGGGGGTCCCCAAAGTCCTGGACCCCCTGACTGCTGGATGCCCAGTACAAGGCCTGCCGTTCTCGGAAAACATCTCGGTGGGAACCTTCTCGAACACGTTAGGGCGTCCTTCTTTGCGTGGCTTTGCAGGTCTTACCCGCAGTGTCGTATGTTTTAAACTGCCAAACAGCGATGTGTCTGTCACAGCTCATCAATCCGGAACGCTCCAGGCTCATGCATCCAATGGGAGTTTTGCGGGATGATTTTTTTTTTTCCCCCAAAACCAGAGACCTTGCTCGAACATATTTCTGTTGGGGGAGGTGGGTGTTAATTTAGTAGTAAGGAGTAAAAAAAACTTGCTAGTAATTGTTTCGGCTCATGAATAGTAGTTTGTATTTGTGGAACTGCCTATTTTTGTGATCCTAATGACTAAAGTCGATTCTCTGGGGAATTATTTTTAGAGGCGGCATCTTGGGGTGAAGGAAGTGTCTCGTTTGTTTTCCTGTTTTCTCCAGTTGCACAGATGGTGTGTGGCATATTCGGATTGTCACGATAACCGAGATAGGCACATTTTTCTTTTTCTTTTTTCTTTTTTTTTTCCTAATGGGGTGTTAAAACCGCCCCCCTCCCCTAAATAAAAAGAAAGGCGTTGCTTTCATGGAGACTAGATAAATGAGATCAAGGGTTTTTTTTTTTTTAATTACATAGTTTGGTTGATGTCACTTTTATCATTCAAAGGTCTAATCCGACACTGCACTCTATTGATGATTACATAGGTGGGATATTAGTTTCCTGCCAAGTATTTACGTAAAAACAGTTTAAAGTATTGATGATTTTGGGGCTGAAGAGAGAGTACAGTGGGGAGGGCACTTGTCTTGCTCGTGGCTGACCCAGGTTCGATCCCCAGCATCCCATGTCGACCCCCAAGCACCACCAGGGGTAAATCCTGAGCATCACCTCGACAGGTGTGGTGAAAAAAATACCCGTCAAAAAAAAAATATATATATATGTGGAGTGATAGCACGGTGGTAGGGCATTTGCCTTGCACGCAGCCAGTCTGGCCAAGCCGGGTTCGATTCCTCCACCCCTTTCGGAGAGCCCAGCAAGCTACCAAGAGTATCTCGCCTGCACAGCAAAGCCTGGCAAGCTACCCATGACATATTCAATATGCCAAACACGGTAACTATGAACAACGGGAGAACAGTGCTACAGTGTTTTACATATATATATATATATATATATATATATATATGAAAGGGACATGTGTTGGAACATTACATGGCTGAAACCCAATCCTGAACAACTTTGTAACTATGTATCTCACTGTGATTAAGAAAAACAAAAAAATACATATAGATAGATAATATTTGAGGCATATCCAGCAGTGCTCTAGGGTTACTCTTCCTTAGTGCCTGGGGTCATTCCTGGCAGTGCTGGGGTTTGAACCCGGGCCTTCTGAACCCAGTCCCTTGCCCTCTCTCCGGGGGCCCTTGATAAAAGGATTGACTTGTTAACTCTTCGGAGTTTTTTCGGGGGGGGGGGTGGAAGAGTTGGCCACACCCGGCGGTGCACTGGCATCACCCCTGGCTCTGCACTCAGGAATCACTGCTGGTGGGCTGGGGGACCCGATAGGATTCTGGGGATTGAACCCGGGTCGGCCTCGTGCAAGGCAAGTGCCCTCCCCGCTGTACTCTCACTCTGGCCCCCAACTCAGTAATTTATGAGTCCTTGGCATGAGGGCAATGGAGGCCCAGGACTTGCAGAGGCAGCAGGGACCGGAAGCTCTGTGGCAAGAATAGGACCTCAGGGCTGGAGCGATAGCACAGCGGGGAGGGCGTTTGCCTTGCACGCAGCCGACCAGGGTTCGATTCCCAGCATCCCATAGAGTCCCCCAAGCACCACCAGCAGTAATTCCTGAGTGCAGAGCCAGGAGGAACCCCTGTGCATCGCCAGGTGTGACCCAAAAAGCAAAAAATAAATAAAAATAAATTTTAGCTACCCACAGACTGAAGAAAGCCCTCAGGAACCCTGTGAGCCCCTTCATACAACTGAAGAGTGATAGGAAGGACGCCCTGGGGTCTCTATTATCAAGACTTAAGGGGGCTGGAGCAATAGCACAGCGGGTAGGGCGTTTGCCTTGCATGCGGCTGACCTGACCCGGATTCGATTCCCAGCATCCCATAGGGTCCCCCAAGCATTGCCAGGAGTAATTCCTGAGTGCAGAGCCAGGAGTAACCCCTGAGCATCGCTGGGTGTGACCCAAAAAGGGGGAAGAAAAAAAGGAATATGGCCTCACGCTGATGTGCTTTTTGACTGCAGGAGTTGATGAAGCAGCTGAATATCATTCAGGTGAGTGGGGCAGGGCCATGACCCGGGCTTCTCCCCTCCCTGCGTCCCCCCCTTCCCTCCCTTCTCTGCACAGGTCTTTCCACCCCCTGCCCCCCTTTTTCTTTTTTTGGTAAATGCCGATTGTTCAAAATCTTTTTCACCTTGTTTCCCCTGTGGATTCTGGGAGCGCTCACATTGATGATTTACGTGTTGTTTTAATTTCCACATTTTTCTGATCTCCTGGCATTCTGTTCTGTTATTGATTCCTAACTTCATTTCGGGCTGGAGCGATAGCACAGCGGTAGGGCGTTTGCCTTGCATGCAGCCAGCATGGCCGACCCGAGTTCGATTCCTCCGCCCCTCTCGGAGAGCCCGGCAAGCTACCGAGAGTATTCGATATGCCAGACACAGTAACAACAAAGTCTCCAATGGAGACGTTACTGGGCCCGCTCGAGCAAATCGACGATCAACGGGAGGGCCTTTACCTTTACCTTTACCTTTTAATTTCATTCCACTGCGGTTGGAGAACATTTTATGAACCCATCCACCTTGTAAGTGAGCCTTACTTGTGTTTCTCTGTCACTGTGTTGGGTTTTCTTTTTCTTTCTTTTTTTTTTCCTGTTTTACATTTAGTAAATATTTTGCTTCCTTAGTAGTTACCCTACTTATTGCCAAAATCTACATTAAATTTATCCCTGTGGGGCCAGCGTAATAGTATAGCAGGTAAGGCGTTTGCCTCGCACACGGCCCACCCAGATTCTATCCTCAGCATCCCATAGGGTGCCCTGAGCCCGCCGTGCGTAATTCCTGAGTGAGACACCGGGAGTAACCCCTGAGCACTATTGAATGTGAGCCAAACCCCACCCCACCCCCAAAAAAACTTATCCCTCTAGGGACCAGAGAGATACAGTAAACTGCGTAGGGCTCTTGCCTCATATGCAGTCAACCTGGATTCGAACCCCAGCACTCCACAGGATCCCCTGAGCCCTGCCAGGAGTGATCCCTGAGCACAGAACCAAGAGTCAGCCCTGCGCACAGTCGAGTGTAACCCGAAATCACTAACCAGATGCACTGCTCTGCCCTTCTGTGGTGATCAGTAAAACACATCAGGAAGGCCAGAGAGATAGCACAGCAGGGAGGGCGTTTGCCATGCACATGGCTCACCCAGGTTCGATTCCCACCCAGGTTCGATTCCCAGCATCCTATAGGGTTCCCCCGAGCACCGCTAGGAGGTAATTCCTGAGTGTACAAGCCAGGAATAACCCCTGTGCATCGCCAGGTGTGACCCAAAAAGCAAAAAAAAAAAAAAAAAAAAAAAAAAAAAGACATCAGGAAAGTCATTCCCAGAGAACCATTTCCAGCCCCATGAAGCATCTCTGTCGTCACCGCTCATCCTCCCTGGACTCATGCTCCCCCGCCTGAGCCCAGCCCGCTCTCCCCGCAGAATGCAGAGGCCGTGCACTTCTTCTGCAACTATGAGGAGAGCCGAGGCAACTACCTCGTCGATGTGGACGGGAACCGGATGCTGGACCTGTACTCCCAGATCTCCTCCGTTCCCATAGGTGAGTGCTGGGTGCCAGGCCTTTCAGGGCCACCTCTGTGTCCCCACTGTGACCACTCCCCTGGGAGGACCTGTCCCTAGGTGTCACCAGAGGACAGAGAAAAGCATGGAGTCCTTTGTGAGCGGGTTCAGGACCCGGGACTTTTTTTTTTTTTTTTTTTTTTTTTTTTTGCTTTTTGGGTCACACCTGGTGACGCACAATGGTTACTCCTGGCTCTGCACTCAGGAATGACTCCTGGCAGTGCTCGGGAGACCCTATGGGATGCTGAGAATCAAACCCAGGTTGGCCGTATGCAAGGCAAACGCCCACCCTGCTGTGCTGTTGCTCCAGCCCCACCTGGAACTTTCTATGTTTATGCTTAGGGACTAAGTCCCCAAGCCCAGCTGCCTGGCACTTCTCTTTTTTTAATTTTTTTTGGCGGGGGGGATGTCACACCTGGCGATGCACGGGAGTTACTCCTGGTTCATGCACTCAGTAATTACCCCTGGCAGTGCTCGGGGGACCCTATGGGATGCTGGGAATCGAACCCAGGTCGGCCGCGTGCAGAGCAAAAGCCCTCCCCCCCGTGCTATCGCTCCAGCCCCCCGCCCAGTACTGGCTGTGCGTCCCCCACGCGTGCCAGAGGAGAAGCCGTTCACGGATGGGGTGGAGAACTTGGGTCTTGGTGGGGTTTCTGCAGGAGGGGCCTGACGTGGGACTTCTGCACCGGGAGGAGTGGGAGAAAGGGGGCACAGGTGGCCGCAAAGCAGGAGCTGTCCTCCAGAGACCACCACAGGGTGCCCTGGCCTCACAGCTGCCGCAGAAGCGCAGGGCCCCTTTGCGCCCCACACCCACCTGGCCATGCCCAGCCGTGCCCAGCAGGACCCCAGAAATCTGCTGCTGTTTCCTGAGCAGGCAGCAACCCCCCCTGTCACCCAGCAGCTTGGAGAGTGCGGGTCAGCCCAGCTCACCTAGGGGGTAGCTTGGCTCTGGGGCCCTGCCAGGGCTGGGTGCAGGGTCCCCGGGGCTCACAGCAGTCCCTTCTCTGGCTTCCCAAGGCTGAACCCCCATGGATTATGCCTGCTGAGGGTCCTCTGTCGCTGCCCTCACCAACCGGGTTGCTCCCCCAAGGACTGTCTTAGTGCTCAGGTTCTTGGTGTGGTTGGCAGGTGAGGGAGTTGGGTCTCGCCCGCAGTACTCAGGGCTCTTCCTGGCACAGTGCTCAGCAGTGGTCATCCCGGGGAGAAGGTCTGCAGGACAAAGCTGGGCTCAATTTGCATGCAAGACAAAGTTTATCTATTGACGTATTGGTTTGTTTTGGCCTTTTGGGTCACAGCCAGTGATGCTCAGGGGTTCCTCCTGGCTCTGCACTCAGGAATTACTCCTGGAGGTGCGTGGGGGGCCCCTATGGGATGCTGGGAATCGAACCCAGGCCAGCCACATACAAGGCAAACGCCCTTCCTGCAGGGCTATCGCTCTGGCCCCAGACAAGTTCTCCCTCTCTCTCGCTCTCGCTCTCTTGCTCTAACTATGAGACGATTTTCTTTTTTTTCTTTTCTTTTTCTTTCGGCTTTTTGGTCCACTCCCAGTGACACCCAGGGCTTCTACTGCTGGCTCTGTGCTCAGGGACCATCTGGGTGCTGGTGACAGAACATGAGTCAGCCCTGTACCAGGCAAATGCCCTCCCCACCATCTCGCCGCTGCAGAGAAACGATCGGGACCCTGCACTGCCCTTTCCCACTATTAAACCTGGCGGCGCCTGCCCGCCCTCGCGCCCAGCCCATCAGCAGGAGCCAGGAGGGTGCAGGGCCTGTTTCCCAAGCTGTGTCCAGGGACCCGGGGGGCCAGTCCAGGGGGGTGCTCAGCCATCTTGCCTGGACAGGTCAACACTCAGGCCCAGTATGGGTCCCGCTAAGGCTCTGCAGTGCTGGGGGTGACTAGCGTCACCTCAGTGGTGTTCAGGGGATGTTGAGGCGCCGGCATGAGAACCAGGGCTCCCTCGTGCATCCTGTGCCCCCTCTGTGAGTGCCTCCCCAGCCCCAGAGCTTGAGGGTCTGTCCCGTACGTCCAGGAGAGCTGAGGGCTTGGACCCACACGGCCATCAGCCCCCTGAGCTTCTGCCCTGGGGAACAGCCCCCAGACAGCTGCCCATTGCGGGGGAGTCCCTGGTTTCCCTCACGAGAGGGATGGGCTCTGCCCACTTCTCTCCTGCAGAAGCCAATAAAGCCACTGTACCTGTGGGTTAATGAGATGTCGCTCGCTGGCACCGGCTTATCTGCAGTGCCAGAGACGCTCCACACCAGGCCGAGTGGCAGAGAGCCAGAGCTGAAGGGCCTCCAGCCAGAGCACAGCAAGGGACAAAGCCAGCGTGTTCCCCTGGACGGCAGCCAGGGGGAGGGCAGGGGGAGCTGGGAGGAGGCAGGGGAGGGGGGAGGAAGTGGACAAAGCTCTCCTGCTCCCCCATCTCACGCCCAGCCTGCTGGGGCTTGTGGGGGTAGCCACAGACCTTTCCACATTTCCTTCCAATTCTACAAGGTGACAGTTTCCGGTAAGGGGCCGGAGTGATAGTACAGCAAGGGAGGGCATTTGCCTTGCACGCGGCTGACCCGGGTTCGATCCCTGGCATCCCATAGGGTCCCCTGAGCAGCGCCAGGAGTGATTCCTGAGAGCAGAGCCAGGAGTAAACTCCCTGAGCATCGTCAGGTGTGACCCAAAGAGCAAAAAAAAAAAAAAAGTTCCTGGTGAGCTGGGCTCTCATGCACAAGCTGGGTCCCTCGAACCTGAGCTGGGTCCCCAACACCTGAGCTGGATCTCTGAGACCTGAGCCGCCGGGTCCCTAGTACCTGAGCTGAGTCATTCAGGCCCTCCAGTCCGAGCTTGCCCAGCCAACCCCAGACTGCGGGCCTTGAGCAGGCCATATGAAGATCCCTTTCAAAGTAAATATATTTGGGGGCCAAAGAGATAACACAGTGGATAGGGCATTTGCCTTGCACGTGGCTGACCCAGGTTCGATTCCCGGCATCCCATATGGTTCCCCAAGCAATGACAGCAGTAATCCCTGAGTGCAGAGCCAGGAGTAACCCCTGAGCATCTCCAAGTGTGATCCAAAAAGCTAAAAAACAATAAATAAATAAAAATAAATGTATTTGGGAGCTGGAGTGATAGTACAGCAGGTAGGGCACTTGTTTTGCATGCTGATGATTGGGGTTCAATCCTGTGCACCCCATATGGTCCACTGAGCACCTCCGGGAGTAAATCCTGAGCACAGAGCCAGGAGTAACCCCTGAGCATCACCAGGTGTCCCCCCTCCCCCAAAAAGCAAAACACCGAAGTAAATACATTTAAGTTCAAAGACGAGCTGGTTTCAAGGAAACGGGTATGCGATCTGCGTCATGAATGTGTCTCCAGAGGCCTGGCTTAGTCCCCAGCACTTTACGGTCCCCAGAGAACCGAGATCCACCAGGCTGAGCTGGAGCACTGTGCCAGGAGCAGCCCCTGAACTCTGCTGGGAGTGACCCCAAAGCAAAGCAAACTAGGGCGGCAGCACTCCGAGGCCAGTTTTCTCCCCCACTCAACGTTCCGCTCTTGCCCCCTGGGTTTGGAGTCCTTTCTGTTTCCTGCTTGTGTCTTGAAGGAACCGAGTTTGATTTGACTCTGCGGGAGAGCAGAGGGAGTGATGGGGGGGGGGGGGAGCCCCGTGAAGTCACCGTTTCACACTGCGAGGCCAAGCGCACCGGCTTGGGGGTCTGGCCTGTCTGCAGGCGGGGGTCCAGCTCTTGCTTCAGTGGAGTAAGGCCGCGAGGCTGAAGGCTCCCAGGGTCTGATGGTCAGCACGGCCCCCATCATCCTCCCCCATACACTGGGAGTCGCTGCAGGAGCCGGGCCGCGGGGAGCCCTTGTGGACGCAAGTAGCCGCCCAGTCTGATGGACGTGAGGCTCGGGGCCTCCGTCCACCCCAGCAGAAGCTTCTGCTCACTGAGAGCAGGGCGCCGACGGCGGGCCCAGGGTTTCAGGCTGCGGCGTGGTCCCTGATGCCCCTCTCTCCCCAGGATACAGCCATCCTGCTCTCATGAAGCTGGTCCAACAGCCTCAGAATGTGGTGAGTGTTGGGGACGCGGTGATGGAATTTCACGGGGGACGGGGGGGCGGGGGTACACCCTGCAGTCCACACAGGCTCTTCCTGCCTCTGCGCTCAGGACTCACTCCTGACGGTGCTTAGGGGACCCTTCAGGTTCTGGGGACTGAATAGTGCTCCGACGGCCCAGATAGACGCTTCAACTGTGCCCTGTCTCTGTTTTTTTGTTTGTTTGTTTGTTTTTCCTTTTTGGGTCACACCCGGCTTTGCACAGGGATTACTCCTGGCTCATGCACTCAGGAATTACTCCTGGCGGTGCTTGGGGGACCCTATGGGATGTTGGGAATCGAACCTGGGTTGGCCGCGTGCAAGGCAAACGCCCTACCCACTGTGCTATCGCTCCAGCCCCTGGACCCTGTTTTCACTTATTTATTTACTTATTTATTCACTGCTTTTTGGGGTCACACCCAGTGATGCACAGGGCTTCCTCCTGGCTCTGCACTCAGGAATTGCTCCTGGCGGTGTTTGGGGGACCCTACAGGATGCCGGGAATCGAACCTGGGTCAGCTGCATGTAAATCAAACGCCCTCCCCACTGTACTATGGCTCTGCTGACCCCCACCCAATTTTTATTTACTTCCCTTCCTGTCATTGCTGATATTGGGGTGACAGGATAGCACCCCCGAGGCTGCTGTGATCCTCGCTGTGGGAGGGAGGCAGACAGCATGTCGCTGTGCTTCCCAATGGCTGTGGTCTGTTGGTGGCTGGTGCCCGCTCACCGGGCCCCCCACTCTGGTGGTGGTGCAGTGCTCTGATCCTGGTGCTCACACATCTTTTTGTTGCGTGCCTGAGGAGGGAGGCCACCCAGTATCGGGATGGGCTGGAGCCACAGCCATGCCCCAGTGGGGACCCTCTCCCCGGAGACCCTCTCCCCTCGCGTAGCAGTCACCGAAGACCCCACTTCCCTCCTGACAGAGGGGCGTACCCCAGGGCTCAGGGCCCCCCGCTTCCTGTGAGCCGACAAGGGTGGAGGCCAGGGGGCTGGGGCCGTCTCCCAAGGGCACTGTGGCGCTGCAGCACAGAACGTGGGCGGCGGCAGACCGCGGGCCTCCCGGCTGTGTTTGTTTTCAAAGCCTGACTGTTGTGAAACGCCGCGCGGCTCGCAGATGCCGCGGCAGTTGGTGCTGAAGAGACGTGTCAGCAAACACGGGCCAATGTCAGCTGCTTCCAGGCCCCCAGCCCCGCCACGTGACTGCGGGCCCAGGAGCCACGGGGCAGCTCCTGCTGCCGTCTCCCCAGCATCCTCCCCCCGTGGCCCTTCTTCGCCCCTGCACACAGGGAACGGGGACGGGGAGCATCTTCCTGCCCCCTCTGCCTCATGGTCCTGTGCGGCGCGGCCGGAAAGGATTCAAGGTCCCCAGAGCCCGACAGCACAGCTGCTGGGTCACGCTTGGCACAAATGATGCAACAGGGCTTCCAGCTGTCCCTTACCTTGCACTGCAGCCTCGCCCGAGACCTGAGGCCCCGGCGGCATCTCTGGGCAGTCGGGACAAAGCTAGGTCAGCCTGACCACGGTCTGACTACAGCATAACCGCAGTCTGACCACAGTCTGACTGCAGCCTGAACCACAGTCTCACCACAGATCCACAGTCTAGATCACGGTCTGACCACAGTCTGACCACAGTCTGACTACAGCATAACCACAGTCCGCCCACAGTCTGACCACAGTCCGACCACAGTCTCACTACAGCATAACTGCAGTCTGACCACAGTCTGACTACAGTCTTGACCACAGTCTGACCACAAATCCACAGTCTAGATCACGGTCTGACCACAGTCTGACCACAGTCTGACTACAGTCTGGACCACAGTGTCTGACCACAGATCCACAGTCTAGATCACGGTCTGACCACAGTCTGACCACAGTCTGACTACAGCATACCACAGTCCGCCCACAGTCTGACCACAGTCCGACCACAGTCTCACTACAGCATAACTGCAGTCTGACCACAGTCTGACTACAGTCTTAACCACAGTCTGACCACAGATCCACAGTCTAGATCACGGTCTGACCACAGTCTGACCACAGTCTGACTACAGTCTTGACCACAGTCTGACCACAGATCCACAGTCTAGATCACGGTCTGACCACAGTCTGACCACAGTCTGACTACAGTCTGGACCACAGTCTGACCACAGATCCACAGTCTAGATCACGGTCTGACCACAGTCTGACTACAACATAACCACAGTCTGACCACAGTCTGACCACAGATCCACAGTCTAGATCACGGTCTGACCACAGTCTGACCACAGTCTGACTACAGCATACCACAGTCCGCCCACAGTCTGACCACAGTCCGACCACAGTCTCACTACAGCATAACTGCAGTCTGACCACAGTCTGACTACAGTCTTGACCACAGTCTGACCACAGATCCACAGTCTAGATCACGGTCTGACCACAGTCTGACCACAGTCTGACTACAGTCTGGACCACAGTCTGACCACAGATCCACAGTCTAGATCACGGTCTGACCACAGTCTGACTACAACATAACCACAGTCTGACCACAGTCTGACCACAGATCCACAGTCTAGATCACAGTCTGACCACAGTCTGACCACAGTCTAAATCAGCCTGACTACAGTCTGACCACAGTCTGACTACAGCATAACTACAGTCCGCCCACAGTCTGACCACAGTCCGACCACAGTCTCATTACAGCATAACTGCAGTCTGACTACAGTCTGAACCACAGTCTGACCACAGATCCACAGTCTAGATCACGGTCTGACCAGTCTGACCACAGTCTAAATCAGCCTGACTACAGTCTGACCACAGTCTGACCATGGTCTGACCACAGTCTGGGCCACAGTCTATGCTGATGCCTTAGAGAACCGGTGTGGGCCAGGAGAAAGGCGGGTGACAGATTCAGAGAAATGACAGCTTGGCAGGGTGCCCCAGGGCAGCAGGCTGAGAACTGTTGACAGACAAGTTGCCTCTTCCAAAATCCTGGCTAGTGAAGCACCCAGGGAGCAGCTAGTGCCCAGGGAAGGGTCCTGCCAGGGCCTTTGAAGTCCAGTGAAGGGGCTTATCCTTCCTCTGTCGCGTATGTGTGTTGGGGGTGGTTATTTCGACAGAGGAGTCCCCCGAAGACCAGAGAGGTTAAGCGACTTACCCCAGGTTGCACAGCCACAGCCACCCCAAAGCTCTTTCTTTTCTCGCCACGCTGTGGGACTGCTGAGCCTAGCGGCGAGGCTTCTGGAAGCTTGTCCTCATTTGCTTCTGTGCCCCGATGTCCCAGATAGCTTCTGTTCTCACTGTCACGCTTTGTCGAACAAGAACATCACCCCCACATCCTTCCTGGGCCCAGAGAGTCCCGCTGCCAGCCAGCCTGGCCGCTTCCCCGCCACCCACGAGGGCGATTTGCCCGCACCTCCATCTCCTGAGGAGCCCGGTTCCTTAGACACCCCCGGACATGCTCAGAGCCAGAAGGAAAGCACCCTGTGGGTCAGACGAGGTTTCTGGGGTGCAGGGAGGTGAGGCTCAGCCGCGGGGGCACCTCGGGGAGAGGCTGATGCAGCATCTGGCTGAGCACAAGCCTGGACTGGAGTGTGCCGTGGCCCGACCTGGCTGCTCTGTGGCTTGGGGCAAGTAGTTGGACGTTGCTGGTCCTCGGTTCGCCCGCTCTCCCACGGGGAAGGTCCCCCCGTCCCATATAAGACCCCATTGCGTCTCCTCATGGTCCCCAGAGCTGAAAAAAAAGGCAAGAGAAGCTTTTCGGAAAGTTTCCAGGATTGGGCAAAGAAAAATGAAAGCCGGAAACCTTGGCAGCTGTGAGGGGTGTTTGCAGACGTGCAGCCTTAGACGGCCGCGCCAGGCCTGGGGCTGGAGGGGGTTAAACACTGTCTGCAAGAGGCAGAAACCGCCAAACTGCTGTGCAAGGCGGCTACTCCGTTCCACCCCCGGCCACGAGGAAGGGTTTTCTTGCTTCCGAAGAACTGTGTGCTGTCGTCCAGTATGGGGGTTTGGGTTTCGTCTGGGGGGGCTTCACCCAGCAGTGCTCAGGGTCTACTCCTGCGTCTGTGCTCAGGGATCACTCCTAGCTCAAGGGACCTTACGTGGTGCCAGACGTGCAACCAGGGTGGGCCATGTGCCAGGCACGTGCCCTCCCCATTGTGCTACCTCTCCGGCTCTCAGTATTTGGTTTTCAGGCATTCTGATCAGTTTTTATCGGGGCGTGGTGGGCCAGGAGGGATTGAACCACACTCAACACTGCTCACAACTTACTCCCGGCTCTGTGCTCAAGGATCACTCCTGGTGGTGTTTGGGGATTTCATTCAAGGCTGGTGCATTAACCGTGGTGCTGTCTGGCCCGGGTCCATTTTTTTTTTTTTGGCTTTTTGGGTCACATCCAGTGATGCACAGGGGTTCCTCCTGGCTCTGCACTTAGGAATCACTCCTGGCGGTGCTCAGGGGACCCTATGGGATGCTGGGAATCGAACCCGGGTCGGCCGCATGCAAGGCAAATGCCCTACCCGCTGTGCTATCATTCCAGCCCCTGGCCTGGGTCCATTCTTATTTTCAGTTGTTGATTTACAAGAAAGATTTATACGATCTGAAGAGAAACCAGAGCGATAGCACAGTGGGTAGGGCGTTTCCATGGCCGACCTGAGTTCGATTCCTCCGCCCCTCCCGGAGAGCCTGGCAAGCTACCCGTGACGTATTCGGTATGCCAAGACACAGTAACAAGTCTCACAATGTTACTGGGCCCGCTCGAGCAAATCAGTGAACAACGGGAGGACCGTGACCGTGACGGTGATTTACAAGAAGTTGCACATGTTAAAAGCGTTCAGTGGGGCTGGAGCGATAGCCCAGCGGGGAGGGCGTTTGCCTTGCACATGGCCAACCCGGGTTCGATTCCCAGCATCCCATATGGTCTCCTGAGCACCGCCAGGAGTAATTCCTGAGTGCATGAGCCAGGAGGAACCCCTGAGCATTGCTGGGTATGACCCAAAAAGGAAAAAAAAAATGAGAGAAAAAAATAAGAAAAGCGACCCCTCTGGGTTTTTCTGCAGAGCACCTTTGTCAACAGGCCGGCCCTGGGCATCCTGCCTCCAGAGAACTTCGTGGACAAGCTCCGTGAGTCTTTGCTCTCGGTGAGTCTGTCCGGGGACCCCGTCCCCACCCCCACCCCACATCTGATCCTGGAGGTGCTGCTGGGGAAAGATCCAGAACTGCAAGGATCAGGGTTCTGACTCTGGGTGCTCAAATGCGGTTTCTTTCACTGAGAGGATGATTCAAATATTTTCTTTAAAAAAAAAAAAGGAAGGAAGAAGGGGATCCAGGGACTTGGTATGTCCCCTCTGGGCTCCCCAGAAGGGGCCTTGGGCTTTGCTGTGCCCCCTGGCTTGTCAGTTTTAAGCCTTAGGAACAAGGCATTCAGAGCTGCCCTCTGACCTCTAACCGCCAAAGGAAATGTGGGTTTTCTAACCTTTTTTTTTTCTTCTTTTTTTTGGGGGGGTGGGTCCCACCCGGCAATGCACAGGGGTTCCTCCTGGCTCTGCACTCGGGAATTATTCCTGGCGGTGCTCAGGGGACCCTATGGGATGCCGGGAATCGAACCCGGGTCGGCCGCATGCAAGGCAAATGCCCTCCCTGCTGTGCTATCACTCCAGCCCCTTTTATACCCTTTTCTTCTCTCTTCTCACCTCGAAGCTTTCTTGGGTTTCTCCTCCTCCACCCCTGGGAGAACCAAAACCCCCCTGTGGCACCCAGGACACCCCCGCTTCCTTCCCAGGAGCTCCAGCTGCCTCAGACACGGCTGAGCTGGGGCCGGGGGACACTGCCCGGAGCTGTGCTCAGCACCTGTCCTCTCCCTGCAGGTGGCCCCCAAAGGAATGTCCCAGCTGGTCACCATGGCCTGCGGCTCTTGCTCCAACGAAAATGCCTTCAAGACCATCTTCATGTGGTACCGGGTAGGCGGGGATGTGGACGTGGGCGTGCAGACTCACCCCCGTCCTGTGGCTCACCCCACCTGGCCACAGTTAGGGCCAGCAGGGACCATCATCACTGCCCACGAGTTAACTCCCTGGACGGGCCCTTCTGAACATGCCAGATGGCATCAAAGCCATGCAAACTGGCCTGCATGGCCACGGTCCCCCCTGGCCTGAGTGATCACTGACCTATGTGGTCCCCCTTGGCCTATATGGTCACAGTGTAGTCCCTGACCTATGTGGTCATTGTCCCCCCCACCACTGGCCTGCATGGTCACGGTCCCCCCTGGCCTGAGTGATCACTGACCTATGTGGTCCCCCTTGGCCTGTGTGGTCACAGTGTAGTCCCTGACCTATGTGGTCATTGTCCCCCCCCACCACTGGCCTGCATGGTCACGGCCCCCTGGCCTGCTCCACACCTCCCCCACCGAGCTTAGCATCAGCTAACAGCAGCATTGCCGGGTACGGGGTGGGGGGTCCTCCCGCTCACCCTCTGTCCCCCAAACCTCTCCTGCTCCAGTGCCCAGTCATGGACCCCTGCACCCCCACTCCCCAGACTCCCTGGTGGTGGGGAAACCAGGGCAGGTGGAATGGGGGGTGGGGGTGGGGGGGACTCACTTGGCCCCCTGCCGGCCTCTGAGGTGCTGTTCCGTTTCCGCAGAACAAGGAGCGAGGGAAGACGGGCTTCTCCAAAGAAGAGCTGGAGACGTGTATGATTAACCAGGTGTGTGCGGGGTGGGTGAGGGCGCCCGCACCCCCCCACACACATGACCTTCCTGTTTCTCAACACCACCAGACCAAAGCGCCCAAAAGTCTGGGTGGAAATTGCACGCGTGGGGGGGAGCAGCATGTGACGAGGGCCAGCAGTAGGGCAGGGCCCAGGGGAAGCAAAGGGGGGGCGGGGGGAGGCGGTGAGGAGATAGTGGACGAACCAGGGTCCAGACAGCAGGAAGTGCGTCGTCCCCCACAGCCTGCAGACCCCTGGGTCCGGCCGCCGGGAGACAGAATCTGGCTGGAGCCCCGGCCCTGTCTCACGCTGCAGAGAGCCAGAGCAGGGAGCGAGAGAACTTCCTCGTTTCCTTTCTGTCTCTAGGGGTGGGGGGCTGCTCTCGAGTGGGTCTGGGGGCGGGGGCAGAGACCCTCTCTCCCAGCGATTCGCCTTTCCTGGGCCCTGCTCGGATCCCGGGGTGCTGGGGGCGGCTAGGGTCACGTGTTCTGGGGATCAGGTGGAGTGGCTACCTGCCAGGTTGCACTCTGACCCCCTCCTGGCCTGATGCTCTTCTTCTTTTTTTTTTTTCTTTTGCTTTTTGGGTCACACCCGGATGCTCAGGGGTTATTCCTGGCTCATGCACTCAGGAATTACTCCGGGCAGTGCTCAGGGGACCATATGGGATGCTGGGAATCGAACCCAGGTCGGCCGTGTGCAAGGCAAACGCCCTACCCGCTGGGCTATCGCTCCAGCCCCCTGATACTCTTCTTGTCTTGTGCCCCACCCGCCCTTCAAATGCCACGCAGCAGTGCCTGGGCAAAGAGGGCACAGACACTCTGGGCGCGCTAAAGGGCTTCCTGTTCCCATGCCCCAGCTCCCGTCCTTGGGATCGCAGACATCCCTCAGCGGGCTCGTCCCTCCAGCCCCCTCTGACATTTAGACAGATGCTTCTGCTGCCTTACATTTTTTTTTTGAAATTTTTTTCATTTAATTTTATTTTTGTGTCACATCCAGCCATGCTCAGGGGTTTTTCCTGTCTCTGCACTCAGGAATTACCCCCTGGCAGTGCTCGGGAGACCCTATGGGATGCCGGGGATTGAACCCAGGTCAGCCACGTGCAAGGCAAATGCCCTCCCCACTGTGCTATTGCTCCAGCCTGCTTCTGTTGCTTTTAAAAGAAAGGACTGGAGTAATGGTACAGCTGGGGGGTGCCTTTGCCCTGCAAGTAGCCGACCAAGGTTTGATCCCTGGCATCCATCCCATGTGGTCCCCTGAGCACCGCCAGGGGGTAATTCCTGAGTGCAGAGCCAGGAGTAAGCCCTGAGCATCGCCGGGTGTGACCCAAAAACAAAACAAACAAGAAAAACAAAACAAATATACACTTAAAAATTATTTTTCTGGCGAGAGAGACGGATGGGACACAGGGCACAGCCCTGGGTTCCATCCCCAGCACTGCAAGAAACAGAATTTTAAACTGTATGCAGGGGCTGGAGAGATGGTACAGTGGGGAGGGTGGGGGTGCTTGCCTTGTGTGTGGCCAACCCGGGTTCAATCCCTGGTACCACATAAGAGCCCCTCGGAGCCCCCCAGGGAGTGATCCCTGAGCACTGCGGGTGTGGTCCCTGCCCCCTCCAGAGAAGGCACCGCCAAGTCCCCAGGGCCAGGGCCAGCAGCGGGGTCTGCATCCCCCAGGGTCACTGACCACCCGTCTCTTGGTTGTAGGCTCCCGGGTGTCCGGATTACAGCATGCTCTCCTTCATGGGCGCCTTCCACGGAAGGACCATGGGTAAGGACGCCTGACCTCGTGACCCCGCAAGGACATCAGCGGGGGGCTCGGGCTGCCTTTGAGCCGGAGGCAAGGGGGGCCAAGGGTTTCTCCCCACCTCCTCACTGACCCCCAGCCCCAGCCCCCCAGAACTTGGATGGGGGGGCGCTGCAAAGCCCACACCTTGGCAGAGCCAGGTGCCCCCACTCGTGTGCGTGTGCCTGGTCTCCAGTTCCCGCTGGTTCCAGCTGGTGGGCCAGCTCAGGTTCTGCTGGCCCTAGGTCTCCCCTCGGGCCTGGGCCTCAGGACCACCAGCCTCCCCACATTTCTTTTCAAAAACCATTCCAGGAGTCGCAGGGGCAGCGCAACAGGGGAGGCGCTGGCCTTGCACGCGGCCGACCCTGGGACCATCCCCCGCATCCCCGATGATCCCTGAGCCCCACCAGGAATGATCCCCAAGCACAGAGCCAGGAGTCGGCCCTGAGCACCACCGGGTGTGACCCCCTTACCATTCTGTCTGGTCAGGTTGCTTAGCGACCACACACTCCAAAGCCATCCACAAGATCGACATCCCGTCCTTCGACTGGCCCATTGCACCCTTCCCGCGGCTACGGTACCCGCTGGAGGAGTTCGTGAAGGAGAACCAGCAGGAAGAGGCCCGCTGTCTGGAAGAGGTACCCAGGGTCCCCTGGGGTCCCCCGCACCCGCCCGTCACCCGCCAGGGCCCTGCCCCCTCCCCCAGCAAGCCCAGGAGGAGAGATGCAAAGGGGGGCTGGCCGGACTCCAGGGCAGCTGCATCCCTGTAAAGTGCTAATGGCAAGAGGACCCAGGTCCCAGACGCTGCCCTGGTGGGGGAATGACCCATCCCCCATCTCCGGGACCAAGGACCAGCCCTCCAGGAAGGGGTACACAGATAGAGAAAAAAATGGGGGCTTCATACGGTGCTGACAGACCCTCCTGGGCCTTGTCCAGGCGTCTCTCGGGTCCCAGGTCCCCAGGTCAGGATCAGGCTCTGCAAGTCCGTGGCCTGCTCAGAAGTCTGGTTGGGTCCCCGCAGGGATGGGGACAGTGGCTGTCCCCCTCCCCGAGGTGTGACCACCGGGGACACTTCACCTCTGAGGCTCATCCTCCCTTTCGTGCTAGTCAGATTTACTGTCACCCCCTGAGCCATGTCGTGGGGGGGGTGGGGCATGGCCTGAGCCGAGACTGGGCTGACAGTGCCCAGTGCTGAGGCCGTGGCACTGTGGGCTTCCCGAGAGCCACAGAACGCGACCCCCAACCCAGTGCAGAGGCCAAAGTTATTTTCAGTCACGTGATCAAACTGGATGTATCCAGGGGCGGGGGAGGGCATTTGCCTTGCACAAAGCTGACCCAGGTTCGATCCCCGGCATCCCTTATGATCCCCCTGACAACTGCCAGGAGTAATTCCTGAGCACAGAAGCCAGGAGAAACCCCTGAGCATTGCCGGGTGTGACCTATAAAGAAAAAAAAGAAAAAAAACTGAATCTATTCAGAATAGTCTTATTCCGGTAGGAATCACAGCTCCCTGTTCCTGGTGAGCTCAGCCCTGAGTTTTGGGACACCGAGAGGACCAGTTAGTCCTGGGCACTGACGCCTGGTGTGGCCTCTGGCTGCCTCTCAGGACAGCACAGGGTGGGTGTGAGCTGGGGGTCGGGACTTGGGGACACCAGCAGGAGGGCAGAAGGCAGAAGGCAGCCACCAAACTCATGCCGGCCTGGCTAAGGCTTGAGTTTTCCTCAGGAGCCTTGAGGGCCCTACCGGGCCAGGATTTGAGCTGCCGAATCATTAATGAGGAATCGAGTCTGCCCTTGAATTATCTATGAGGATCTTGTTTCAGGCTGAGTTCAGGCACTGGAACCCCCAGGACCATCAGGGGCTTGTCTGATGGCCCAACCCTGGCTTGGTTTTGGTTTCTGGGCTATCCCTGTGACTCTCAAGGCCTCCTGGCTCTGTGCTCAGGAATCACTCCTGGCAGTGCTCAGGGATCACTCCTGGCTCCGTATCCAAGGATCACTCCTGGTTTTGTGCTCAGGGATCACTCCTGGCGGTGCTCAGAGCTTCCTTCTGGCTCTGTATTCAGGAATCACTCCTAGCTCTGTGCTCAGGGATCACTCCTGGCAGTGCTCAGGAGTCACTCCTGGCTCTGTGTCCAGGGATCACTCCTGGTTCTGTGCTCAGGGATCACTCCTGGCAGTGCTCAGGGATCACTCCTGGTGGTGCTCAGAGCTTCCTCCTGGCTCAGTATCCAGGGATCACTCCTGGTTCTTTGCTCAAGGATCACTCCTGGCTGTGTGCTGAGGGATCACTGAGAGGCCAGGATCCAACCTGGGTCGGCTGCGTGTGAGGCCAGCGCCCTCTCCTCTGTGCTAACTCTCCGACCCCACGGGTGCATTTGTGGGTTCTGTTTGGTTTGGGGGTTGGTCTGGCGGCCTCCCAGGGAAGTGCCCAGGGGCTCCATTCATGGGGGTCACTCCTGGCGTTGCCGCGGGCGGAACCCAGACCTCCAGCCATGGACATGGTCCCAGTGCCACCAGCTTCATTATCAAATGCGACTTCATCCGCGTGTCCTCATTTCCCGCCAGGCACTGAAAGGGCTCGACCCCTCCTTCTCAGCAAATCTGAGCCCTCCAGGGCCTGAGCAGTGGCCGGGGGAGGGGTACTTGCCTGAATTCTGTCCCCTGCACCCCACAAAGTCCCCTGAGCCTCCCAGGAGTGATCCCTGAGCACAGAGCCAGGAGGAAGCCCTGGGCATGCCCCAAAATGAATAGTAATCTTCATCTTCATCGTCATCCTCATCTTCATCACCTTCCCTGTCGCCATCACCCCAGGCCTGGGAAAGCCCCTTCAGTACTTCGGCCGCCCACCTCACCCACACAACACGGGGTCCTCTTGAGAGATGCACCTGGCGGCCCTGATTTTCTTCCTTGGCTTCTAGTTTGGATGGGGGGTCGGGGGCCACACCAGGTGTTGCTCAGGGCACGCTCCCCGCCCCCCCCATGCCCTCTGCTGCTCACAGTCTCCTTTCCCCCGGCCCCCAGGTCGAGGATCTGATCGTGAAGTACCGGAAAAAGAAGAAGACGGTGGCAGGAATTGTGGTGGAGCCCATCCAGTCTGAGGGCGGCGACAACCATGCGTCCGATGACTTCTTCCGCAAGCTGCGGGACATATCTAGGAAGGTCTGTGCCAGGGGGCCACACCGCAGCTTGGGGGGTTGGCAGCAAAAAAAAAAAAGTGAAGGGTTGGACGTTGCGGGTTCAAAACCCTTAATCATCGACAGTATTGCAAATCAAGGAAAAGAATTTGGGGGGAGGGCGGTTTGGATTTGGGGGCTACCCCCCCAGCAGTGCTTGGGGCTGACTCCTGGCTCTGCGCTCAGGGATCACTCCTGATGGGGTTTGGGGGACCAGACGGGGTGTCGGGGATCGAACCCAGGTTAGCTGTGTGCAAGGCGAGTGCCCTCCCAGCTGTACCATCGCTGTGACCCCTCAAGTGGAAATTGCAAAGGTTTGGTTTGACGCCTTGAGGCGGTGCCTGAGGGCAGAGAAGCCCCCCAAGGGTCTTTTCTGAGAAGCTCAGTGCAGAAGCGGCCTCAGGGGACCAGTGATAGTCCCGCAGGGACGGTTGTGTGCGTTGCACGCAGCTGAACCGAATTCGTTCAATCCCTGGTATGTCCTGTGGTTCCCTGATCCCGCTAGGAGTGACCCCCAAGTGCAGAGAGCCGGGAGTCAGCCCTGAGCACTGCCGGGCGGGAAGCGGGAAACAGGCCAAGCAAGAGGCCTCCATCCTACCAGCTTGGATTGGTTTGGTTTGGGTTTTGGTGGGGGTGTGAGTGCGAGGTTGGGGCGACAACTGGCAGTGTCCCAGGGCTCCTCCAAGATCAGTTTTGGGGGTTCCTCCCAAGGACTACATGAGACTACATGCCAGGCGAGCGCCTCACCCCTGCGCCACCCCTCTGGGTGCCCCTACTTGCTGTCTTAAGGGGGGAGCCCCACCCCAACCAGCCCTTCCTCTGCCCTGAGTCTGCACCTCACCTTGTCAGCCTATCCGTCCAGCTTAACTGCCCAGGGGTTGTGAATCTCGGGGTCCGGTTCTAGGTACTGGCACCCGCCAGTGAGGGCCTAGATCCTGGGGCTACCGTGCATGAGTTGGCGAAAATGCAGATCCCAAGTAATTGTGAGTCCAGGGAGGGACAGAGGGGGTTGGCAGGGCAAGGGAGGGCAGGGGTCTTTCTGAGCCAGCACCCCCCAATCCCCTGAGAGTTCTAATGGTAGAGCAAGGGGCTCGTTCCCCTGCATGGGGCAAGTGAACCCCTCAGACCGGCAGCAACCCCCGAGGTGTCCAGAGCAGGGGGATGAGGTTGGAGGCTCAGGGAAGCAGTGACAGCCAGCAGGGACCCAAGGGTGGGCGTCTGCTCCATCTTCCCTCCCGCCCCCTTTCCCGCCCTGCCAGCACGGCTGTGCCTTCTTGGTGGATGAGGTCCAGACGGGAGGGGGCTGCACCGGCAAGTTCTGGGCCCACGAGCACTGGGGCCTGGACGACCCTGCCGACGTGATGACCTTCAGCAAGAAGATGATGACGGGGGGCTTCTTCCACAAGGAGGAGCTCAGACCCAACGCTGTGAGTGGGGGCTCGCCCTGGGGGCTGGGGGAGGTGGGCGTCCCTCTCCTCCCTGCCCCATCCTACAGCCAAGGGGACTCCCCCCGGGGTGCCATAGAGGGTGCCTGTAGCAACCTTTGCCACCCCTCATGCGGTTTCTTCTCATTCTCTGATTCTTCTGCACCTTGCCTGCATCCAGACGGCAGGTAACTGCAGCCAGATGTGATGACCCACCAGGGTCCTAATGGTGCAGGGGGAGCCGAGTTTCCGCTCGAGGCCCTTCTGAAGGCCTCTCCTTAATCACGCTCACTGTGGAGACACTGATTCAGTGATTCTCTTAGATTAGTCAGGAATCAGCTGCAATAAGGTTCAGGTCCCAAAAGCACGCAGCCTGTGCTAGTTCCAAAAAAAGTTTTTTTAATTAACTATAAATTAAAAATAAACATACAGGGGCCGGAGCAATAGTACAGCAGGTAGGGCATTTGCCTCTACCTGGGTTGGATCCCCGACATCCCATCTGGTCCCCCGAGCACCGCCAGGAGTAATTCTTGAGTGCAGAGCCAGGAGTCAGCCCTGAGCAGTGCTGGGTGTGATTCAAAAAAACAAATAAGTAAATGGGTAAATTTTTCATTAGAAGGTAACATTTTGATTAGAATTACAGTAAAAGTAACAAAGCCAGAATTCAAAACTACATAGGGTCACACACACACAAACATACACAACACAAAGTTATTTTCAGTCACGTGATCAAACTGGATGTATCCAGGGGCGGGGGAGGGCATTTGCCTTGCACAAAGCTGATCCAGGTTCGATCCCCGGCATCCCTTATGATCCCCCTGACAACTGCCAGGAGTAATTCCTGAGCACAGAAGCCAGGAGAAACCCCTGAGCATTGCCGGGTGTGACCTATAAAGAAAAAAAAGAAAAAAAGAAAAAAAACTGGATCTATTCAGAATAGTCTTATTCCGGTAGGAATCACAGCTCCCTGTTCCTGGTGAGCTCAGCCCTTCACACATCCTGAGTTTTGGGACACTGAGAGGACCAGTTAGTCCTGGGCACTGACGCCTGGTGTGGCCTCTGGCTGCCTCTCAGGACAGCACAGGGTGGGTGTGAGCTGGGGGTCGGGACTTGGGGACAGAGTCATGAGGACACCAGGACCTTCCGCTAGTCCTTCAGGCTCCACCCACACGGTGGCCTCATGGCCCAGAAGTGTGGCTGGTGCTCCAGCTATCACGTCTCCATCTGGATAGTCAGACAGGGAAGAGGAAGGAACCACAAAGTAGCCCCTGGAGTCCCACAACACTCCTGTCTGTGACACTATGACCAAGGTCTGGTCCCATGTGTCCACTCGTGTGGCAAGAGAGGCGGTCAGGTTTTGGCTCGCAGCACTGCCGTGCTGCAGATTTGGGGATCAGTGAACTGGGCGGGCCTCTGGGGCCAGACTGCCTCCGTGCCCTTCCGTGCCCACCCTCGGGGAGCCCCGAATCTCTGCTCCTCTTGGAGCCTCACTTCCTTTTCTCTGTGAGGACTGCGCCATCATGGCTGCTGCCTCAGTTTCCCCAGTCTCCCCGAGAGCCACTGCAGCAGTCCCGGGAGGCACCATCGTGCTCAGGTGCCCGACGTCCCCTGACAAGAAAAATGCCACCAGTCCTGGGCGAGGCTGCACCCAACCCGCGTCCTCAGGGGCCCGGGGCCATGCTTGTCTGTCCATCCCTCAGAGCGGTGCCCAGTGTGCCTGGGGGGGACTATCCTCTCTGGGGGGCTGAGGACGAGGCCCGTGCTGTCCACCCCGGCGGTGGGAGGCTGGGGGCCCCACCCGCCGCTCCTGCCTTGCAGCCTTACCGGATCTTCAACACGTGGCTGGGGGACCCATCCAAGAACCTGCTGCTGGCTGAGGTCATCAACGTGATCAAGCGTGAGGACCTGCTCAGCAACGCGGCCCACGCCGGGAAGGTCCTGCTCACGGGGCTGCTGGACCTGCAGGTAGTTGCTGCCCGGCGGCCCCGCGGGCGGGAACCACCAGGCGGGGCCCTGGGACCCTCGAGATGCCACTAGGGAAGCCCCCCCCCCACCACACACACACGGTTTATTTTTTGTAATTTTTTTCAGGCCAGAGCAATAGCACAGCAGGGAGGGCACTTGCCTTGCATACGGCTGACCCGAGTTTGATCCCCGGCGCCCCATAGAGTCCCCTGAACCCCAGCACGAGGAACCCCTAAGTGCAAAACCAGGAATGAGCCCCAAGCACTCCTGGGCGTGGGCTCCAAAATAAAAATAATCATAATCATAATGATAATAATAATGATAAAAATTTTTCCGAGGGGCCGGGATGTTAGTTCAATGGGTAGGGCATTTGCCTTGCATGCCGTTGACCCAGGTCTGATTCCCGGCATCCCATATGGCACCGCCAGGAGTGATTCCTGAGTGCAGAGCCAGGAGGAACCCCTGAGCATTGCCAGGTGTGACCCAAAAAGAAAAAAAATTAAAAAAAAAAAACCACAGAAAAATTTTTCCGAAAGAAGAGACAATACGGAGAGATGGTTTATGTCCGTGGAACCGGCCCACGGCCCAGGACCTGACCCAGAAGAAACCAATTCTGGCGGAGATCTCACTTTGGGGTCTGCGGCTTTTATGCCATTTCTCCACAGGGTAGAAACTGAGGCACAGGCTGCATTAGTGCCCTCCTGCAGGGAGGGGCGGGTGGGGGCTGGGACAAGCACGCTGCGCCCGAGAGTCCCCAGAGGCCGGGCACAGAAGCCCAGGGGCAGGGGTGTATGTGGGGGGGAGGGCACCAAGCCTGCTGGCACGGGGCCCAGCTCTGAACCGCGCCTGCCTCTCCCCTCGCAGGCTCGGTACCCCCAGTTCATCAGCAGAGTACGGGGACGGGGCACCTTCTGCTCCTTCGACACCCCGGACGAGTCCATCCGGAATAAGCTCATTTTAATAGCCAGGAACAAAGGTGAGGCTGCCAGGAGGGCGGGGCGGGGCCCGGCGGACCCCCGAGTTGTTGGCATGTCGCCTGCCAGTCTGCTGCTCCATGCACCAGCCGGGGAGATGGCAAAGAAGGAAAGAGGGCAGCTGGGGGTGGGGGGGAAAGAACCACGAGCAGGTGATCAGGGAGGGCTTCCATGGGGAAGCAGCAAATTACCTGAAGTCTTTTTTTCTGGGGGGCGGAGAGATAGTACAGAGGGGAGGGAGCTTGCCTGACAAGCAGCTGACGTGCGTCCAACCCCTGGCACCCCATAGAGTCCCCTGAGCACGGAGCTAAGGGGGAGCCCTGAGCACAGAGCCGGGAGTCAGCCCTGAGCACATAGAGCCAGGAGTCAGCCCTGAGACAGAGCCTGGAGTGAGCACTGAGCACAGAGTCTGGAGTCAGCCCTGAGCACAGAGCTGGGAGTCAGCCCTGAGCACTGAGCCTGGAGTGAGCACTGAGCACAGAGCCGGGAGTTAGCCCTGCACACAGAGCCAGGAGTCAGCCCTGAGCACAGAGCCAGGAGTCAGTCCCGAGCATGGAGCTGGGAGTCAGCCCTGAGCAGAGTCTAGAGTGAGCACTGAGCACAGAGCCTGCACACAGACCCATGAGTCACAGAGCTGGGATTCAACCCTGAGCACAGAGCCTAGAGTCATCCCTGAGCACAGAGCCAGGAGTGATCCCTGAGCACAGAGCCTGGAGTCAATCCCGAGCACAGAGCCGGGAGTCAGTCCTGAGCACAGAACTGGGATTCAGCCCTGAGCACAGAGCCAGGAGTGATCCCTGAGCACAGAGCCAGGAGTCAGCCCTGAGCACTGCTGGGTGTGACCCAAAACAAAACAACAAAACTAAGTGAGCCTCCCCTGCGTACTCCCCACTCGCCTGCCCCCAGCCCCCGGCCCCGGCCACCTCGGGTGTCTGGCAGACACGGGTTCCCTCCCGGGGTTCTCTCTGCTTGGGCGCTGGCAGGGAGAGGGGTGTGAGGGGAGGGAGGGGGCGGGCGCCGGCTGCGGTGGGCAGGGGCTTCAGGGCCAACCCTCCCCCTCCCTCCCCCCAGGCGTGGTGTTGGGAGGCTGTGGCGACAAGTCCATCCGCTTCCGGCCCACTCTGGTCTTCAGGGACCACCACGCACACCTGTTCCTCAACATCTTCAACGACATCCTCTCCGACTTCAAGTAAAGACGCCCCTCCCGCCGCCCGCCGGGGCCCGCCCCCTCGCCGTCATCCAGTTGATTCTTTTGCCTAATTCATGTTCTCACCTCACGTGTCAGCGGTGAACGTGTGCTCCGAAGGGTGGTTCTCGTGGGGAGGGCGTGCGGGGGGCGGCTGGGCCAGGGGCGCTGGGGTCTGCTGCCTCTCGGCGCCGCTCAGGGCGTCTCGAGGGGCCTGGCCGGAGTCCACCCGCGGGAGGATGGTTGTCCCCCTCGCCCCTCACCATCCGACCCGCCCTCCCATCGCCAGTGGCTCGCTCAGCCCGCCAGGGTGGAGGTCAGACCCGATGACAGTAAGGACGTCAGCACGGAGACCCTTGGGGTGAGGGCAGGGCTTGGCCCCTGAGGGGCCAGAAACTGAGTCTCGTCCTGGCGGTGGGTGTGCCCTGGAGAATCTGAGGGAAGTCCTGACGACCTGGCACTCCTGTCTGGCCACCCTCCGTGTCCCAGACTGTCCTTTCCTCCTGTCCAGTGTCACCGAGACCTCGGCATCACAGAGGGGGCCCACAGGCACCCACAGGACCAAAGGGTCAGAAGCACAAAGCAGTGGCCCCGGCGGGGGTGTGGGCTGCCTCCTGCCCTTGAGTCGGTCACACCGTCGGGGTCGGCCTCGGCTCCCTCCCCACCTCAACCCTGCCTTGCAGCTGGGTTGCTCCCCTCTCGGATGTTGGCCCTGACCTCGCCCTCTGCCTGGGTGACAGGCCACAGGCAGGAGAGAGAAAAGCCGCCTCTGACAGCAGCTGGGCCTGGGAAGGGAAAGCCCTGCCACCCGCATCTGGGGTTTCTGTAGCTGAACTGTGACTGGGGGGGTGTCGGGAAGCCTGTGGAGTCTGCTTGGTCTCCTCACCTGGCAGCAGCCACTTCTGTGGTTGCGAAGGCGGGAGGCGGCCGGTCCCACTGGGCTCTTGTTCCACTGAATGGCCCAGAGACAAAGGGCAGAGTCCGGCTTGCTGGGCTTCAGATGCCAGCCGAGGAGGCCACTTGCCCGGCCAGCTGATGGCAGGTCCCTCCCCGTCTTTCGTCCAGGCTTCTCCCCTAGGGATATTCATTCCTGCACAGCTGTTTCTTCACGAAACTTGCACTGACTCCCCGCCCTGGTCCCAGCCCCAGTGCCGAGCCCCAGGAAGACCAAGGAGAAAGAAGAAACAAAGAAAACGGTTCCCTGAGTCTCGGGGCTGCCTGACGTGACGCTTGGGAACTAGGGAGCCTGGAGAAAGGGACATGTGAGTAGGGTTTTGCCGGCTGAGTAGAAGCTGGCTGAGCAGCTGGTGCCAGGAAGAGCACTGCAGAGAGAGAGCAGTATGTGCTCATGCATCTGTTCAGGCCCCCCCCCCCCGCCCCCGGGGCCTTGGAGAAGCAGCAGAAGGCGAACGGAACCAGGATCCCCTCCCAGGAGCTTAGAACAAAGTGGTGGGTGTGAGCTGGCCAGTGGTTGTGGGGTGGACCTCGACCCTCTGGGCTGCAGGGAGGGGGCGTGGACACTGTCCTCTCCCCTGCGAGATGCGGACAGAGAAATGAATTTCTCCCGTCGGGAGACCCACCACAGATTCCCCATTCACCCCTCCCCAAGAGAATTCAGTTCCCGATTCATTCATTCATTCATTCATTCATCATCCTGTTATTCGTCGATTGCCTCGAGCAGGCCCCAGTAACGTCTCCTTCATCCTAGCCCTGAGATTATATTCAAGGCTCTTTAGGAGAATGAGACCCATCATTGTTACTGGTATTTGGCAAATTTGGTACGCCACGGGGAGTTTGCCAGACTCTGCCCTGTGGGCAGGCTACATTCGATAGCCTGCAAGTTTGTCCAAAGTAGGAAAGAGATAATAAGACGTCATAAAAAGATGCCCTGATAAGATGTCACGCGGCCGCAAATGTGGCCGCGCGGTTCCAGGAGCTGGATTTTATAGTCTCTGAGTCTTGGCCGTTGATGGGATTACACAGCGCCAGGGGGCCAGGTGGTGGGTGTGACCCGATTAAAAAGAGAAAAAATGTCTTGAGCCATTTACCAAGTTCCTGTGAACTCCAGGCAGTCCCCAAAACCCACTCTCTGGGGGGCCGGGCGGGGGGGCTGGAACAACGCTCGGCTGAGCTCAGGATGGTCAAGACCAGCAGGGCAGACTCCCGGAGTCGGGGGTCAGGGGCCGGAAGTGACCCATTTCCCATGAGTGCCGTAAGTTCGTGTGTGTCTCGCTGGTCTCACTCTTACAGAAAACAGTCCAGTCACCGCGAGTCTTAGCAGATCCTCACTTTGATGATAAAGCAGTGTTTGAATTATTTTTTTTTTTTATAATTCGTACTGACAAGCCACACCGCGCCCAGTCCCCTGGGCCTCTCTTCCCCGCCAGCCCCGGTCGGCCCCTAGCTAGGAGTGTTGTTGTCACCGCCCATGATCTTGTTTACAGTGTTCTGTCTACAGTGCCAACCAAGGTCAAGGAACCTAACCACGTCCCCACGCAACTGCTGACCACACGCACCAGTCCATGAATTAAATGTTTCCTGTGTTAATCTGTATTCTTAAATTAAAAGAGAGTATTTATAACGGCGGCAGGAGAATGTCTGTGGCTTTGTGGGCACCTTCGAGGGAGAGTGGGGGTCCCCCGCCAGTCTACCTCGGGCAGGGGAGAACAGGAAGCCCGTTCCTCTCACCCGAGTTCAGGGGAGACGGTCCAAGGACGGTTTGGCTGGCACATGGGTGGGCCTGGGCACTGCATCCGTGCATTTCCTTATAGGAAGTCACTCTGGGTGGGGGTTCACATTGTCATCGTCCCAGAGATGAGGCACGGACAGCGTGGACAGCCGGCCCGGGGTCAGAGCTCCCACATGCTGGGGTGGGCGTGGGGCCCTGGGAATCCGCTTCCCCTTGTGGGCAGAATGGAATGATTTTGTCACAGCTGACTGGCACAAGGCAGCGGGTTTCTGTCCACGGGAGTGGACACAGTCCTACTCAAAACACTGAGTCTATTTTGGGCAAGTGCCCCCGTGTGGATGGGAACGACTTCCCAGCCTGGCTGACTCTCTCGGGGCATTCCAGCTGTGCGCACAGCTGTTGGGGTGCTCAGGCGGGGCCGCTGTGGGCAGCTGGGATGGCGCTGCCCGGTCAGCTCTTACTGGGCGCGATTTTATAGTTGAGAACTGCAGGATCAAAAAGGCCGGGGCGGGGCGGGGGGACCAGAGCGATAGCACAGAGGGGAGGGCATTTGCCTTGCACATGGCCAACCCAGGTTCGATGCCCGGCATCTCATAAAGGACCCCTGAGCACCGCCAGGAGTGATTCCTGAGTGCAGAGCCAGGAGTATCGGAGTATCCCCTGTGTATCGCCAGGTGTGACCCAAAAGAAAAAAAAAGGCCCAGAAAGCTGCCTTGTGCCTACGGTATGCAGAGACCTGCCTTTGGGGGGTTCGTTCATCCTGATAAAGCAACAGGAGCCTCCATCGGGGGCTTATTGGGATGGGTCCCCCCATTCTAGGGCATATGATGTGCCTGTCGGGTAACCCAGTGTCCAGGGCCCTGGCCGTGTCAGGGCCCCTCCCCACGGGCTGAAGAACACGGATCGGGTGCTGGAACCCCCCGTTTCTCCGTTCTGAAGGCCAGAAGCCCTGCTGGCCCCCCAAGGTCTCCTGTGTGCGAGTGGACCCCCCAGTGTCCTGAGTCTGGGCCTCCCTCCATGGGATATTAGTCCCCTCCTGATGCCAGCCCCCGGCGACCACATGACCATATCCGTCACCACCCCATCGCCACCAAAACCTCCAACCGCGGGTTCCAACACAGCCATCTGGGAAGGCAAGTTAGTCCAGCAACCATTGCAGGGTCCCCGGAAATGCCTGAGGGAGGTGAACCAGGGCACAGCCCTTTCCCCTGGAAACCACCGCCCTCCCCAGACACTTGAACTCTTGGTGCAGAGTATTTCCATGATATAACATGATCCTGGCTGGGGCGGGAGCGACAGTATCGGTGGGTGAGGCACAGAGCCGAACAGGATCTGACCCCCGGCATCCCAAACGGTCCCCCCGCCCCAGCCCTGCCAGGAGTCACCTCTGAGCATTGCCAGGTGGGACCCCAAGGCGAAATGATCCTGGCCTCCTGCTCATGTCTGAGACATTGGTATTGTTGTCCTGTTTCGCTGTCCCGTAATAACGTATTCATCAACAAGGCATACGACCCAGTACCACAACCAACGAACATCCATCTTCTGTTAGGATCCCCCCCACTTGGGACTGAATCTTTGGAGGGGTCTCCCCAGCTCAGGACGGCCCGGACCGAAGGAACCCAGCAGGTGGAGGAACGTGGCATTTCCCCAACCAGGATTGAATGGATGCATTTACAGCTGACATGGTCTGCACGTTCAGAAAACATTTTTTTTTTAATTTTTGCTTTTCGGGGGGTCACACCTGGCATTGCTCAGGGCTTACTCCTGGCTCTGTACTCAAGATTTACTCCTGGCAGTGCTCAGGGGACCCTCTGGGTTGTGGGAGATCAAACTTAGGTTGGCCGCGTGCAGGGCAAACCCCCTCCCTGCTGTATGTCGCCCCAGCCCCTAGATAACGTTTGTAAAGATGGGAAACCACCTCACACCCTGTAGCTTTGTTGGGGGGCCAGGCTGGGAGGTGTGGTGCTGGTGCCCACATGCAGAGGCTGAATTACACATCTATGCAGCCCTAAGGAAGTTTTGGGTTTGTTTTTTTTTTAAGGGTGTGGGGGCTGGAGAGAGTCTAGCAGGTGAGGTGTTTGCCTTGCATGCTGCTGACCTGGGTTCCACGCCCAGGTTCCTGAGGCCACCCAGGGCTGCCCTGCCAGGACACACCCTGGCAGGTGACTCTGGCCGTGGGATGATGAGGGTGGGGACTTCTGTCCATGAGGGCAAGTGTGTCTGGGATACTGAGAAGGTTCTGGAAGTTGCCGGGGGACCCCTGAGCATCCCATAGGACCCCTGAGCATCGCCAGGAGTGGTTCCTGAGTACAGAGCCAGGAGTCGTCACCCCTGAGCATCACCAGGCAGGTGTGGTCCGGAAACAAAAGGCACCGAACAACAAAAGGATGTGGGTGCTGGAAAGAGCACAATGTGGAAGGGGGTTCCCTGGCATACAGCCAGCCCAGGTTTGGTCCCCACACCCCACACTGTCCTCCACTCACCACCAGGAGGGATCCCTGAGCACGGAGCCAGGAGTCAGCCCTGAGCACCACCAGATGGGGGGGGGGGGAGGAAAAAAACTAAAGGGAAAAAACGGAAATGGGTATGAAGGAATCACGTCTGCTGGGACTGGGACTGTGACATAGGGGTGCCTCGGAGGAAGAGTCGGGCACCCCCTAAAGAGTGACACGCAGAGTGGCCAGTGGGACCCAGCAACCCCCATCTCCAGTGGAGGCCCCAGGGAAGGAACTGGAATCAGGCGGTCAAACCTGTGTGTCCGTCCCCACACTCACAGCCAGGAAGAGGCCACCCAGGGCTGCCCTGCCGAGGACACACCCTGGCAGGTGACTCTGGCCGTGGGATGATGAGGGTGGGGACTTCTGTCCATGAGGGCAAGTGTGTCTGGGACACTGAGAAGGTTCTGGAAGTTGCTGGGGGTGGGGTGAGGGGGAAGGTATGGCACCGTGAATGAGTACAGCAAGCTGCGAGGTGTGTTACACTCAAGCCCCCGAGACGTGGCCCGTCAATTGTGGAGCCCACGACCTCCCCTCCTGGGAACTCCACAGAAAATTCACACTCTCACTCAGGGCCAAGCACTGAATCCACAGTGTGGGACAGACACCACGTCCCTAGTCATTGCCGTACCTATTTTTTTTTTTTGGCTTTTTGGGTCCCACCCGGCGATGCACAGGGGTTCCTCCTGGCTCTGCACTCAGCAATCACTCCTAGCGGTGCTCGGGGGACCCTATGGGCTGCTGGGAATCGAACCCGGGTCGGCTGTGTCCAAGGAAAACGCCCTACCAGCTGTGTTATCGCTCCAGCCCCTCTCTGTTGCTTTTTTTATTGAGACGTCACTTATTACAATGTGATCGAATCAAGAAACTGAATTCTTGGATTGGGCCAGGCGCTCCTCGGGGTTCTGAGCTCGGGGGACAAGGTGGGAGCCGGGACCGGACTGACAAAAGCACCTCAGCCCGGGCTCTCTCCGTCCCCGGGGCCCCAGCAGGGCTTGGGGTGAGGTCCCTAATCACTGCCTGAGTGCGCAGGGGTGGAAGCCAAGGCCGCAAGAGCCCTGATGGGCTGCCCCAGGTCAGGGAGCCTAGAAGGACAGAATCAGGCTGACCCCATCTTCCTGCGGTGGCCTGCTCGCCCGGCCCAGGGGCAAGGGGATCTGCAGAAGGGACACTCCATCAACCCAGTTCCGAGCTGCCGCCGCCTCCAAGTCCCCAATCTCCCAAGACGAGGGCTGCCCAGGCCATTCACTTCAGCTGGTCCAGTGCCCCGAAGACCCTGGCGAAGCGTTCCCTGTCCATGATGCGCCCATAGCGCAGGGGGAGATAGAAGGTCTCCTTGCCGCTGTACTGCTGGATGCGCACGAACAGCTCCTGGGGCCGGTCCCGGCTCTCCGTCAGGGGCACCACGTCGGCCACGGGCCAGTAGGAGTCCTGCCGCCAGCCCCAGAAGGTCAGGTGCGCCACCCGCAGCACCGTGCCCGCCTCGTTCACGTACAGGATGCCCACCAGGCGCCGGAAGAAGTAGCTCATCCAGCAGAGCATGGCCAGGGCGAAGCCGGCCACCCCGCCGGCCAGGTACAGGGAGCTGAGTGGCACCAGGCCCTGGGAGTGCCAGTAGCAGCCAGCCGGCAGAGCCAGCACAGTCAGCGCCGTCTGGGCCACCTTCAGCTGCGACAGCAAGCCGAAGGCACGGATGGCGTGGAACCTGTAGACAGGGTGGAACTTCTCGGTGCCGGGGCCTGGCGGGCTCTTCTTGGACGGGGCTGACCGGCTCCCCAGCCACCTCCTGGGGTCCACCCCGGAGGCTGGGCACCACCGCCTGCAGAGAGGTCCAGCCCGTGCCACTGCCGTGGGGGCCAGCCTCCGGGGCACGGCCACGAGGAGGGCAGCCTGGAAGGGAGACGGGAAACCGTTTCTCTGATTTCCCCTCACTGTGCCACAGCTTAGCTGCAGAACCCCCGTGCCCACCCAACTGCCCACGCCCCGTTGAGGGTCAGCGGGAAAGGTGAAAGGGGTGGCACGCGGAGAGGGAGGGTCCCCGTGGGAGGAGACAGGCCAACTGGTCCCATCTGCTCCACCGCTTCGAATGCGTCCATTCAGCCAAGAGGCACACACAGAGCCACAGCTCGCAGCCACCTGCCAGGATGCCACCTGCGAGCTGGCAGCAGGGGCTTGGGGCCTCTAAGGGCCTCTGCACTTCGGGGCCAGACAGGGGTCCCCGTACACCTGCAGCCGGCACCAGCTGTGGCTCTCTGGGTTGTAACCACTTTTTTTCTCCCGCTTTTTAGGTCACCCCCTGCGATGCACAGGGATTCTCCCTGGCTCTCCACTCAGGAATTCCTCCTGGCGGTGCTCAGGGGACCCTGTGGGATGCTGGGAATCGAACCCGGGTCGGCCGCGTGCAAGGAAGGAGGCAAGCGCCCTGCCCGCTGTGGCTCCCTGGATCTCACCCCACCACGCTGCGGGCGAGCACGGGCCCAGGGTCCAGCTGTGTGGCCAGGGGCGGGGGTCGGTGCTGGAGCGGGGGGAGGTGGGAGGGGGGGTCATCATATGCGGGGATCGAGCCCGGGTCACCCGGCACCCGTGCAATCCCCGCCACCCCGGCTCTCCCGCCCCAACGCGCTGGACACGCGCTGGACACGCGCTGGACACGCGCGGGACACGCGCGGGACACGCGGGGCTCGCCCACGTGACCTCCGCGCCGGGGCCCGGTTCCCCCTTCTCGCTGGAAGCCCCCTTCACCCCCGGTTAGAAGCCAGCCAGGCTCTGGCTGTCCCCAGCCCCGACCCCCGACCCCCGACCCCCGACCCCCGCCCGCAGTCCCGGTCGCCACCACGGCGCCCTTACCATGGGCCCCGACGGGAGGCGGCCGGAAGTGAGCCTCTCCGCCCCGCCCCCCGGAAGCGCCGAGAGCGCGTGCGCGGCCGCCGTGGCGCGCAGCATTCTGGGACTTGTAGTCCCGGGCGGGGAGCCGGAAGTGCGGCGGCGCTTACGTGTCGGCGCGGGAGCGATGGACGCCGGGGCCGTGGCCGAGCCCGGCCGGACACTCTGCCTGTTCGACGTGGACGGGACGCTGACGGCCCCGCGGCAGGTAGGCGGCGCCCGGGGGTCGCCGGGGGTGGGCGCCCCGGCGGGCTGCGACCCCCGCCCGGCCGAGCGCGTCCCCCGAGGACCCGCGCGCGCGCTGGCCACGCTCCCGACCGGACCCTGAGCGCAGAGGCCCCGGCCGGGGGTCGTGCTCGCAGGGCTCTGCAGCGCCCACGCCCACCCCGAGCCCGAGGGGGCCCCCCACCCCCGTCCCGGGCGCCCGCACGTCCACGCGGGTGCAGAGCGCGCAGGGCTCGGGCGCGCGGGTCAGCAGGCGGGTGTCCAGGGCGATCGCTTGTGCCCCTGCGGACCCCGAGGCCTGGCAGCGGCGACCCGGCCTCGGGGGGGAAGGCACAGCCCGACCCCCGCCCGGGAAGCCTTCGGTGTCCTGCAAAAGCAACCGGCCCC